CAATATTGGCTATTTAAATATGAGATATGCAACTCTGTGTTTGTACCAAGCAACCAAGATTGATTGGTAGGTTGTTTAATCAATCCCACCAAATCCCACCAAAAAACAATCAGCTGTTTAGTACAAAATGTGAACAAACAAGCAAATGCAACAACAATTTCAAGCAACAAGCAGCAGTGCTGCCAATTATTTGGCATATTTAAAGAAAGTTGATCTGAAACCCAACGAAAGTTTACTGGCATTTAAACTACAATCCACAATTAAACTTAAGTGCCATTTAAATATTAATTTGAAATTGGCCCTAAGGGCCGGTTGTTCAATGTCTGATTAGCACAAATCGGAGGTAGAAGCTCCGGTTAAATACAACGATTGCTTTATCGATCACATGTTATATGCATGATGTCGAAATCGTCGATAATGATGTTTACCCGGGAAGTAGTGATAACCAGACATTGAACAACCGGCCCTTAATGACCAATTTTTTGTAAAAAGCTTCGCCTATTTATAACGTACCTTGTACAATATTTCATTAATCTATCTTCAATAGTTTTCGAATTACAGAATTAAAAGCAGCTAGATGGGTCAAATCTTACATTCTGCGCCGTAGGCCAAAATTTTTTATAAAAAAATCGCGCGACTTTTAATTAAAAATTTTCATTATTTATCGAAGTATCGATTTTTTTCACTTTTTCCTTTGTACACCAATTGAACTGAAGCACCGACATTTGCCATACATACCAAAAAAGTGCCGGAAATCACAAAACGGAGTCAATAATTAAATACACATAATGATCGCGCGATTTAAAAAAAATTCATTATTTATGGAAGTATCGATTTTAGAATAAAAAGCGCAGCAGGCGAAAATTTGTAATAAAAAATCGCGCGGTTTTTTATTACTTATTTTTGAAATATTTTATGCTATTATTTATTGGCCGTTCGTTTCAAACAATATTGTATATTTTTCGAGCTCAAGGCCACATGAAAATCAAAACACAATTTTTGATTTTGCATTCGTTTTTATTTGCCGATATTTCGATTTCAGTCTGAAGTCATCATGAGGACTGAAAAAATACATTATTACAATTACACACATTAATACATATGTACGTATAAACATAAACAAGTACAACTTACACATTTGACAATCATGGTGTAATGAACTGAAGGTGGCGCATTCCCGAAACCGCTACTTTGGTTTTGCCGACTTTGACGTTTATGGCAATACGTAAACAAACTTTTTGTTTATAAACAAGTACAAACGTATTGTGTATTTTCAAGTGAAAAATCGAAGTAATACGTGCGTTCTGAAGTAAAAGACGTTTTATTTGTAATAAAAACTTTATAAAAATGTCGAGTCGTGTGTTGAATTGCAGCAGCCGTAGGGGTAAAGGCCCCAAATGCAGTTTTCTTTTTGTTTCCCCGCGACGACGCCTTGGCCGGAAAGTGGGTAGAGTTCTGCCGGCAGGAGAAGCCATACAATTTAGACACCAGCGTAATATGCATGAAGCACTTTACGGATAAGGATTACATGAGTAAATATCATTTACTTTCATTACTTATAAATGTCGATATCTAATAAAAGTCTTAGGAACTGCTAGTCGACCATCGCTCCTGCTTCGGTGTGTGAGTCAGAAAATGACAGCGTTGAGGAGGTCACTGAGCTACAAAATTGCGAAGGTAGCAAATATTATACTATAAATATTATATTATTAATGTCAGTGGTTTATTAGTTGGTTTAAATGAAGGCGATAAAGAATATCGGCCCAGGGACGGTACTGCTGATGCTTCGACGTCACCTATCCGTAACTGTGTTTACTATGATAGTGATCTTCAGGAAGTGGAAGTGTACGTTAATAAGTAACAGATTTTAATGTGTAAATGTAATAATATCTTATATTTCTCTTATTTGAAGTGAGACATTCAAGCGCGAAAATGCACACCTCAAAAAGGAGAACGAAAAGCAGTGCACCGAGCTCGCTACATTGAAGCGGGAGTCCGACCTGCAATTGAAGAGACACGCATGGAAAATGGAGTCACTGCAAAACCGGTTGGATGAAATGGCTGCCGAAATGAAAAATGTGGAAGATGCACTAGCTTCCATCTTTACCAAAGGGCAGATAGCGAAGCTGAAGTCTGGGTCGAAGCGACGAAAATGGGCGGAAGAGGATATTGCGAAGTCAATATCGTTGTATGCAGCCAGCCCCAAAGCATACAGGTTGCTATATAAGCAATGCCTTCTACTCCCGTCGGTCCGCACACTTCAAAGTTGGGCACAAAAACTGGACATTTCGCGCGGACTTATAACCCCAGTCTTCCGGTTATTGGCCGCCGCTACCCACATGAACGAGGCACAGAAGCTATGCGTGTTGAGTTTCGACGAAATGAAAGTAAGACAATCTTACTGTTACGATGTTTCGTCGGACTCAACATTAGCCCCCGTCAACTACGTACAGGTAGCGATGTTAAGAGGTGAACATTACAATCAAGATTTTATAGAATATCAAACCTTTATTAAGGCCTTTTATATTTCAGGTCTCATGGCAAAGTGGAAACAGCCAATCTTTTATGACTTCGACTGCAAAATGACTTCCGTTTTGCTTCGAAGCATGTTGCAGAAGTCAAAAGATTGCGACTATAATGCAGTGGCTGTCGTATGCGACCTTGGAGGTACCAATAGGACCCTCTTTAATGATCTAGGCGTAAATGAAGACCAGCCGTGGTAAATAATCACAATTAAACTTATTGATTTCAGTTCTTATAATACTTCTCATTTCCATAGGTTTATTTTCAATGACCAAAGGATTTACGTTTTCGGTGACGTGCCACACTTGCTAAAATTTTTGCGAAATCATTTCCTTGATCAAGGTTTCCTAATTAATGGGAAACCTGTGAAAAAGGAAATAATTTTGGAGTTATTGTCAATTACAAGCACGGACTTGACAATAACTCACAAGATTTCTGCAAGTAACTTGACCGTGGCTGGAGCTCACCGTCAAAAGGTCAAGACGGCAGCGAAACTATTTTCGCATACTGTGGCGCAGGCCATAACAAGGGCAGCAAGTCTGGGTCATTTGCAGAACCACAACCGGACCGAATGCTTCCAGTTATTCAAAACAGTATGTGTTATTATATTATATTATGAAATTGATATATTATTTTACTATATTACATATCGTTATCTTAATCCACAAAGGCTCTAACCAACAGTTTTTCGTACTAAAATATAGCTTAAATAAAAATTTCAAAGTGTTAGTACCAAAAGCAACGCAGTTACGTGCCCCTTTTTCAAAAGCTCTACCTATTTTCGATACTATTTTTATAACGTTTATTGCTTCTGCTATAATATATATATATATTTTTTTTTGTTTAGGGCCTTTGTGAATTAAGGTTACGATATATTTAAACCTCAATATTAAAACTCATGTTCAAATTATACACCTTAGACAAATGACTGGTTTGACGTTCTAAACGTCAGGGTGCCTCACGCCGAGTCCAGGAAGCGGTGTCTTGCTTACGGTTTAGCGATCGAGGAGCAAAACAAGATCCTAGACGAGATGACCGACCTAGTCAAAAATATGAGGGTGCTTGGCAAATTTAGTCTGCTGCCGTTCCAAAAAGGTAAACTAATACATATGTTTATCTCAAGAATAACATTAAATGTTTGTTATTTTTTCTTACTATATCCCTAGGAATCATTCAAAGTAATACGGCGTTGAAGTTGTTATTCGAGGACATTAAAGCTCGCTTTAATGTCAAGTATGTCTTGACGTATCGACTAAACCAAGACGTACTCGAAGATTTCTTCGGCATTATTCGGTCAAAAGGCGGGTTACATGATCACCCTGACCAACAGGATTTCAAGTACCGTCTGCGACTATACCTGCTAGGACACAACAAGGGCGTATTATCCGATTCTGCTAATGTAGAAGAGGATAATACGCCTGACATAGAAATCACGCAGCCTTCGCTTACAAGTAATTTAAAATAATTTTTTATCTTTTTCATTCAGCTTAAATATAAAAATATATTGTATTAATAATCACACATATATATTTTACCATATATACAGGTATTTTGCTGAAGAACTTAAGCTCTAATGCAGAACTGTGGCCGGTTGAAGAAGCGGAATTTGAGGATTTAGAGCTAGACGGACTCGAGCATTTAGCGGGATATATTTGCCACAAGTTGCAGGACGACATTCCCAGCACGTCGTTTAGGAGCAATGACGACCATTCATTCTCCTGGGCGGATCACTTTAACGAGGGTGGGTTATCCATTCCAAGCTCCTCTATGATGGTCCATATGCGAAGTCTTGAGTCAGTCTTTAAGGCATTGAACGAAGACGGCTTGCTTATTACAATTGATTTTGTAAAAACTCACATTGAGCATGCTGCAACAATTCAATGCGACATTAAAGTAAAAAAAATTATTTTTTAGGGCAAGAATGTTCTTCAAAATACGAAAATTAAATAAGGAACTCGTTGAAAATGCCCAAAAAAGAAAAAGAAAAGCCAAAAAAACTCTGACCTAGATCGATCCATATCCATTATAGAACCGTAAGTACCGCATAAAATACCAAACATGTGGTAAGCTTTCCACTAAAGCGTGTTTAAATTTGTAGAAATTAACCGTTGTTTACTTGCAGCATGAACCAACGTCCGCATTTCACACGCACTGATCTCAGTATTTCAGACGCCTAAAATTAAAATACTTGAATGCTACGTAAGTCCCTAGTTTTAAAAAATCATCAAGTGTCTTTTATACAAATATAAACTTATTTATTTGCAGGCAAGTAATATGATTTAGCCAAAGGACCTTTTCAGGGCCGCCAATTAATTAACAAAGAGATTAAAATTTTATGTTTAGATAAATACATATATACCAATCAACAAGAGGCCCTTTTCAGGGCCGCAATTATAAATGAAATATAAATGAAAATATAATATACTGCAAATATATGTATATTATATACTGCAAAATAAAGACTATAGTAGTCAAAATTTCAAATCGAATAAATGTTTATTAAAACTATACCTCATTGCACTAGCTTCCAAAAACAGAGAAGAAAAATAACTATGACGTACTGAGCTCTGGTTGTTGATGCACGATTATTTTGCTGAGACTGACGCGACACACACCAGTACACCAGGTTGGGGTTACTTTAGTCGTCGCTGAAGTGTTTGCACTAGTTGGTGTCGGCTGGTGTACAGAAAAACTATCAAACTCCAGGTTGATTTTCGTCGCCGATGAAGCAACTGAGCCGAAGATATCATCAAGGTTGGCATTTGAAGTTGGTTGTACATTAATTTCTAAAATAGAAATGTAGGTCTCAATTCAGAACTTGGCAAAATATAAATTTGGATGGCCGCCTAAAAGTCTAAGACTTTTTTGAATCTACCAAATCCTTACCTAAAATATCAGGTATTGGAGCCGAGCCAATGCCAGATGAATTATCCCCGAATACTCCAAGCAAATCGAAACTAGCGTCACTCGTTGGCATAACAGTGGCTTGTGGATCTTGCACCGGCAGCTGGGGTTGGGGCTGGTTTAAATTGAGCAAGTCTATTGGTGGTGATGGTTGAGGTTGAGTTCGAGGTACATCCTCTTGCTTTATTTCGGTAGCATCTGGTAAAATAGGCGTTATCTACCGAAGCAGCTGACTTAACAGGCGTAGGTTTGTTGATGGAACTAGGTTTTGTCACTGTAGTAAGGAAAATAAATAAATTAATGAAATGGGCGGAAAAACTATAGGGACTTGCCGAAATTATCCACCATTTCCTCGAATTCTAATTGCGAACTAAATATATGTTATGCGTTTCTTATGGGCTTTGCTGGCAACCAAGGAGGATTCCTACTCGGCGGACATTCGTTATCCGTGAAACTCCACGACAGCGAAACCGAAAAGTCATGAGGAGCCTGATCGGCAAAATGTTATCTATGTTTCTTGTTCCGGTAAAAAATGAAAAATTATGGAAATTAAGAACGTAGTCTTTCCTCTTCCCAAGCTGCATCACCACCGGCATGCTTGCCGTGACTTATTTTTCTAAACCCTGTAAGCAAAGTTTTTTTAATACGACACAAATTTGTTATTACTGCCACGCACTCACCAACTTAAATGATTTCACAAGCACAGTGCATGATTTACAAGGCGGCATCTTAGTTGATTTTTCCTTTTGGTCCTTTGGAGATTTGTCAAAAGCTTCCACAGCTTCACAGTTCTCAAACAGCAACACCAGCCCACATATAATTGAAAGCACCACTTTTAAACACGACATGTTAAGTTGAAAACGTTGAAATACCACAATTTACAAATTAAAATCGGAGGTAAGCAAGCATCGACCACTTTCTGCAGGAAAACATGCGCTGCGACAAGATATTATCACTTTTTCGGCACCTGCAACACAAACACAAAATTCTTTCTATTCTTTTGAACACATTTCAAGAGTGGTTGTATAATTTTTGTTAACGTTGTGCTTAATTTGCTATAAGATGGCTTGAAAAATTGGTGAATCGTGAAGAAAACACGTTTTCTCATTGCAAATTCACAACTGTCAACTCATTGTTCTTCGCCAAATTCTTTGTTTACCCGTTGCCGCAAATGTCATTCTGCGGGAATGCGCAATCTTGTATTCTATCGTTCTTGTTTGACAATGTTTGATCGACTGAAACAGATGAGCGAAAGACACTATTTAAACAAGCAAATTTGGAGACAATAGAAAACATCAACATGAGAATGTAAACAATTCAAAATACAGTAATTGTAAACAAAAATCCACGAACCACAATACATAGGAAAACGAACAGTAAGAGCCATACCTAAATAAGCGCGTCAAGCGTTGGGCCTGTCGGCCTCTCTTCTTCTAGCGTATAAAAATTTAATGCGTCAGAGAGAGATAAAGATACAAGCGAAACGCTCAACGCGCTAATTTAGGTACGGCTGTTAGACATGAATACATATGTATGCATATCGCTGCAGCTCTCTTTTGTTGTTGCCCGCAGCATATAAGGTACGGAATGGCAGTGGACTGCGAACGAACATATGACACCTATACTATGAATTGTTGTTGCCTTAGAATTAAGTTGCGATAAACATGCGCTCAATTGTCGGTGTCCGATTTGAAGTTGATCCTTTTATTGTTAGGGGTGTTCATAATATCTAGCATTTCCAAAGTATGGCGTTTATGGTAATGCTTTTCCTTTTGTAAAATTGTTACGTTGTCAAAGTTTGGATAATGTCCCGTATTCTTACAATGATACAAAAAGGCCTTCTTGTTGTCCGAAAGATGTCAAATGAAAAGCACAAACATAATTTTGGACCCATCTTTATTTATGAATTGAAAATAGCACAAAGGAACATAAAATCAAAGAAAAAAGAATAAAAACATAGTTTCCGGGAGATTACAGGGGTGTACTCAAATGAGTACACTGACCACCTAAGTATCGAGATCCCATTGGATCAAAAGTAGTTACTTGTGACTTTCCACAGTAAAAATCGAATGTGTAACAATATCCTGTAGAACTGGCCGCTACCCAATTTTGGTATCAAAAACGTAGTGGTTTTCCACGAATGAACTGCTTAGAAGAGTGGTGGCCATAATATTTCACCATCGATTCGTCTACGGAGATACTATCATGAAACATCCCCCACTGTAAAAATTTCTGCATAAGAGCGTCGGCCAATGATCTTATCTTGAACATGTTATCATTCGACGTTGCTGCTGAATTGTTGTCGACCAGATGAAGGTTTCTTTTTATGTCTCGAGACCTATGCCTCGATAAGGCTTGAGCGATCAATTCCACCCCAACATCTTCGTCTAAACTCCAATACATTGGTTCTCGAGGTAGCTTATGATATCCAAATAATATCAATACTCCTACAAACTTTTTCAAATCAGATGAGTCTAGTTGAAAATCATGTCTGTTGTTTTGATTTGAATAAAGTAGACTATTTGATATAATGATGTCAACAATATTTTCATCAACAAGCTTTTCAAATATTTGTACAGGGCTAAGGCCTTTTAGTTCTTCACGACTTCGGAAGTACGCTGAGAAGTTGAGGTGTATGATAGGGGACATTTGCGCCAGGTTGGGATTGGCCGGCGAATAATATCTAGTCGCCTTCTTTTTGCTAGCGGTTCATCGTCACAATCATCGCTACTACTATCTTCATAATCACCATCCTTGCGATTCGTAAATACCTCAATAGTACCAGGCACGTCATGCGGTAGAGATGATAGCACCATATCTTCCTCGGCGCCTTCTTCTTCATCGGTCAATTCACTTGGATCAGGTGGTATGATAACCATTTGAACTTCATCATCACCATCGTCACTATCGCAACTAACGGCATCAATAGCTTCTTGAAGCCCTTTGTAGCTATTTTTAGCCGAAAATTGTTGTTTGCACATTATTAGGAATCTGAAGACAAAAACAGTTATTTTACTTACGTAAGTTGTCACTGTACTCAACCGAGTACAGCAAGATATATATGGCTACAGTTTTGTTGTTATTATAACTATTTGATTATTTTATAGTTTATAACTTAATTTGACATATTTTGTTTAGTAATTGAATGTGAAAACAAATGATTATACAGTAATTATTATCATATTTCAAAAATAATTTACATAACTGCGATGTTCCCACGTTGCACAACTTCAACTGACGTTTTGACGTAAAAAAATCGCAATAGCCACGAACTTCTTATTTATACCTTTGAACAGTATAATGGTAATATAAAAAAACTAGAACACTACCAAAAATTATTCGAAAACTATAATCCACACTTAGAGATATGACTGTACTCAATTGAGTATGGTGACCTTTGACTTATGAGCGGAAATCTTGCCTTTAATTTTGATTTAGTTGTCCCCACATATACCTTATTACATACGTGGGACCCGTCGCCATTGCATGGAATTTTATACATTACATTAGATTTCTCATAATTCGGAATCTTGTCTTTTGTATTGCTGTAGATTTGTCGTAGTATGTTATTATATGTTAATGCTATTATATAATTTTCTTTATCATATATACTCGCATTCTTAACCCTTTCGGATATCCCTGGAACAACGAATCATTTTGTTTATCAACGACAAGGGGAAATCATTATGTTCCAGAATTCTTTTAATAACAGCAATATTTTTTGTATGATAAATTTTGTCACTAATCGAGAGGACCCTTCTAATGAAGTTGTTGGCTGTATTTATAATTGTCTTTTTCTCATGTTTGGAGTGAAAGTTAATTAGTCTCCCAGACGCAGTCGGCGTTTTGTACCAGTCAATCGTTAATAAATTATTTCTTCTTATTACTAGAGTGTCAAAATGAGATAACTTTCCCTTCTTTTCCTTTTCTATTGTAAATTTAATCGACTTGTTGTAGTTATTGGTGTCTGTAGCATTATGTCCATATCTTGTGTTTTAATAATGGCAAATAGATCATCAACGTATTTGGTGAGTAAACGCGGTTTGTTGGTGGAGTCCCTTTCAAATTTGGCCAGTAATTACTCCATTATTATATCCGCTATTATAGGTGAGGCTGGAGAACCCATTGGCATTCCTGATCGCTGCTCGTAGATTTTATCATTGTACTTAAAATAACAGTTCTCCTTAACGCAGAATTTTAGTATTAACAAAAATATCTCTTTCGTCAAAAAAGTGTGGTTTTTAATCTCGTCTTGAGATGGGACGAGATTGAAAAGTATAGAATACGCACGTGAAAATTGAAAATATAGTAGGGTATTCTCAAAGTCTTGTACGATGCACGGATTGCACGAAATGCAAAATTACCATACCAATTTGGAAGAGTACGAGAGCACCCCATTGCAAAGTGGTAGCATGCATGGGTACCAAGCAGCGAAATTATGTATCAAATAAAATAACAGACAGCAAAAAAATGACAACAACAACAAAACAACTAGCACAGGATCGCATCTATCTTGCTATGCTATTTTGCTAAATATATACACGGGTTTCGACGTTGCGTATTTTGCAGCGATAGGAAATGTTGTTTCCCATGTATTTCGTTGTTGTGCGTTTGCAAGTTATGCAGTCCATGCAACGTGCTACGTGCAATGGCTTTGCAAGATTTGGAGAATACCCCTGGTATATCACACAAAATATAAGTGATAAGTGGCATTTTGTACAAACATTTTTGGGGTGGTAGTGGAGATTATTTAACAACGAATTGCTTAAATACTATTAGCAACTACATTGTGAGAGTGGCCAATTCATGTGGAGAAAGCCCCTCCCCAACATCCTCACCAAGTTTCATGACGAAATTCCTTATACTTTCGCTGAAATCTCGATTGGTTCCGTTTTGGAAAGCCAACCCCTAGTTATAGTTAGATATAACATGTGATATGCCTTATGTTGAAAACGTCGATAATGATGTTTAACCGGCAAGTAGTGATAACCAGGCATTGAACAACCGGCCCTAAATGTATGACCTAAAAATGAATCGTTCAAGTTAATCAACAATCTCTACTTAAATAGGCCATCTGAAATGGGGTCTAAGGGCCGGTTGTTCAATGTCTGATTAGCGAAAATCGGAGGTAGAAGCTCCGGTTAGATACAACGACTGCTTTATCGATCACACGTCGATAATGATCTTTAACCGGCAAGTATTTAGTGATAACCAGACATTGAACAACGGACCCTAAGGGCCGGTTACTCAATGTCTGGTTAACACTAAT